CAATGAGCATTTCCCAGACCACAGACATAGGCAGGCCGAGCCATCACCATTTGTAAAATCCCACTAATTGGTCATTGCAGAGAGAAGTATACTGGTCCACTGCGAATTTCCCACAGTTCATTTTTAATCATGTGCCAATCCCTCACAAATTTCATGTTCCCTATTACTTCATTCTCCAGTACTAACAGATATAATAAGGGGCCCACAGGAGCCTTTCTGAGAAATGCCATTTCCAACAGCTGTACAAAGTGATTTCTTGGAGCTGTATCTGGGGAAGCCAACACGTGTGTCTGCTGAGGGTACCGTCTGACATGCTTCCTGAATGCAACTGCAGAACAGAGCACAAGTCCATTTCTCTCCTGTTCTTCCTCCTTCCCTAAGGTAATCTACTAAATGGTGTTGTTCATTTGTTTTCTGAGACGGAGTTTTGCTCTTGTTGCCCAGGATGGAGTGGAATGGTGTGATCTCAGTTCACTGCAACCTCCGTTTCCCGGATTCAAGTGATTCTCCTGCCTCAGCCTCCTGAGTAGCTGGGATTACAGATATGCATCACCACACCTGGCTAATTTTGTATTTCTAATAGAGGCAGGGTTTCACCATGTTGGTCAGGCTGGTCTCAAACTCCCGACCTCAGGTGATCTGCCCACCTCGGTCTCCCAAAGTGCTGGGATTACAGGCGTGAGCCACTGTGCCTGCCTGCATGGTGTTTTAATATGTTTCCCTCCAAATGTACCTGTCATAAAAAGACACTCACCTGTATGAGATTTGCTTTTGGGAGGTGGGCTGATGCAAATGGAGCTGCCTTATTTATGCAACTTTAGGGTGGCTGGTGGGTAAACTCCTCACAGCCCACACAAGCCCCCAGGACACAATAGGCATCAGAAATGTTGTGACCCTGGGCTCCACAGTGATAAAGAAACTTGAATTCCTGGGTCTGACAGTGATAAAGAAACACCTTGCTATTGATTTTATTCTTCTTAGGGACCCAGCTCTAAATTCATTGTGTATCAGTCATTTAGCAAACATCTCTATAAGCCACTCATTTAGCAAGCATCTTTTTAAGTTTTAGCAAACATCTATAAAACTTCCTTTAAAGATGTTTTAGCAAATATCTTTCAAAGCTTCATACCAGGCATTTGGGATACAAAGGTGATGAAAAATGGTCACGACCCTGGCTTGGGAGCTTATAGTATATGACATGTATTAGCTCATCACACAAAGGCACGAAAGGATACCCTCTGTGATGAGTTTACCAAAGAAATGTATGAGACTCTAGGAGAACACAGAACAAAGCAAGCCCTATGAGGTGATAAAGGCAGGGAAGGTTTCCCTGAGTAATGTAACTGTAACAAAAGAATTTGTTATTCATTAGCAATGAGGGAAACGGAGATTGGCAAACAGCTTAGTAAGCAGAAGAAACAACCTGTTCAAAGCTGCCCTGGTAGGAAAGGCACACAGTGATTCTACAGGACTGAAGAGTGAGGAAGGACACAAGTGGTACAGGAACGTCTTGGAAGGAGCCAGGAGCCAGAGTGTGCAGAGATGAGACTCGGTTAAGAATTGTGGCCTTGGCCAGGCACAGTGGCTCAGGCCTATAATTCCAGCACTCTGGGAGACTGAGGTAGGTTCATCACTTGAGATCAGGAGTTCGAGACCAACCTGGCCAATGTGGTGAAACTCCGTGTCTGCTAAAAATACAAAAATCAGCTGGGCCTGGTGGCACGTGCTTGTGGTCCCAGCTACTCTACTCAGGAGGCTGAGGCAGGAGAACTGCTTGAACCCAGGAGGCAGAGGTTGCAGTGAGCTGAGATCACACCACTGCACTCCAGCCTGGGGGACAGAGCAAGACTCCTTCTAAAAAACAAAAAAAAAAAAAACAAAAAATAAAAAAACAAAACAAAACTGTGGCCTTTATCTCAGAGCAGTAGGAAACCAGGGAAGGTTTTACCCAGGGGAAAAGAATAGCATGACTGTGCTTGCTTTTGGACAGCTGACTTTTGCTAATGAGAGAAGAGATGTAAGGGAGGAGAGGTGAGCAGTGGAGGGAAGAGACTAGTCTCAAAAACACTTGCCACTGTGATGGGAAAAGATCACAAAGCGCGGACTAGGTAGGTGCAGGGGGGTGAAGCTACGCCAGACTGTGATGTGGTCACACCCAGGGCAAGAGAAAAGAATAAAGATGAGCTCTCAGTTTCAGATCAGCAACTGAGCAGATGGCAGTACCACAGCAGGGGTGCTTGTCAGGCTGGTGGAGGGGGCAGATCACGGATTTGGGTTTACTGATCTGGGTTATATATAAAGTAATACACAGACAAACAGATCATGGAGTCAGACAGTTACGGTTTTCATCTGGCTTTACCACGTATCCTTGTTACCATTATTATCAGGAAAAATTACATGTTATAAACACTTTCATACTCACTGTCGTAATGGACAACAGTCTCATGGGATTCAGGAATGTGAGAAAGACAGGCGATTAATCGGTAGGGGAATAAAAAGCAGTTGTCAGGAAACTTCGATGAAGTCCTCAGTAGTAGAGATCAGGTTAGAGAGCGGGACTCTAGAGAAGGTATTCTTTTGAACATACCAGATCGTATTTTCTAAACTATCATTTTTTAAGCAATAAAGAATTCATTTCAGATCTATTAAAAAAAAAGCCAGTATATAAAATAAGAGACAATTGGTCTCCCTGGATTAAAGTGGGCATGACAGAGTCAGAATATCAGCGTTTCCTCCCCTTCTCTCCTTTCATCCAAGCCTCATGGAAGGGGCTTCCAGGAGCGAATTCCAGTCCATGGAACCTTACTCCTTCAACTTCTTAGCTCTTGATGGATTTCACAACAGGTCACACCACCGAGCGCATTTTAAGTCATTCTGGCCTTGGCTGCAAGTGGAGTGGAGCATTTTGAAGAACGGCCATGCTGCACACACTGTGCCATCTTACTTCACCCCTTCCTTGGTGGCTGACTTAGTCCCCGGCCACCTGAGAGCTGACACAACCAAGGTTCAAAACCAGTGAGAGAATTCTTTGGCGGTAAACCAGGATTTGAACTTGGGTTTTCCCCCCAATCACTTTGTATTTTCTTTTTCTTTTTCCCTTTTTTTAAGAGAAAAAAAAATGATACACTCATTTAGCTGTGATCTTACCACTATGATACAATCATAGCTCACTGCAGTCTCGAATTCCCGGGTTCAAGTGATTCCCGTCTCAGCCTCCAGAGTAGCTTTGACTACAGGTGTGTGCCACCAGACTCGGCTAATTTTTAAAATTTTCTGTAGAGATGAGTTGGCGGGGGGGTGGGGGGGGTGGGTGGTCGCACTATGTCACCCAGGCTGGTCTCAAACTCCTGGGCTCAAGTGATCCTTTCCACCTCAGCCTCCTAAAGTGCTGGGATTACAGGCATGAGGCACTATATCCAACCCACTTTGGTTGATGTTTTCTTACGAAGTAAAGGGTGCAGGCTCACCGGGGGATATGGCACTGAACTACTTCCAAAAGAAAGGCAAACGGTGAACACAGTGGCAGAGGCATCCCTCTGAACCAGCTGCTGCTCCTTCTCCCGTTGCTTTTCCCCATGGTGTTGGCGCCGAGACCCCGGGAGACAGAGTGGCTTGCTTTCACCTTAATTAGCGCAGTAATTTGCTAAATTTTGTTTTTCCCTTTTTAAGAGTGTTAATCAATTTTAGCTCAGAATACATTGGAATGGCACGCACATTACCACGACAATCCCCAGATGCTAAATTCTCAACATCTCCGTCAACCTTGGAGCCTGAAATATGTGAAAATCAGAAACTCTGGCCGGCGTGTCAGGGATCTATTAAAAATGTTATGGCTCTAAAATGAAAGGATAATGGGTTTATGAGGTTTGGAACAGGCAATTTGCCACAATCAACCTCATGCTTAGGTGTTGAGTCCTTCTCCCAAGGTGAGTGGAGACAGAACATCAGTGTATTTCTCTAATTACAGCAATTTGTTAAATCCACAAGCATTAGGGGGTACCTACTATGCACCAGAAATACAGAAAAGAATAAGGTGTGCCTCCTCCCCTCCTACCCCATTAAGAAGTGTTCGACAGGCCGAAAAGCAAACAAAAAATGTCTTCCTCTTTCCTGTGGAAGCGGGGTGGTTTCTAAGATGAGTCGGCACTGCAGCGGAACAGGATGAACAAGAGTTGTGACAAGATAGGTGGGAAGGGTATACCAGATGGAAGGAACAGAATAAGCCAAGACTCCAACACAGAAGAGGAGGCAATGAGAACCAGAGGTGTGCTCTACTATTCAGAGTGCAAGGAATAGCAAAAGGGTTCCAGGAATGTCAAGGGACAAGACCAGAAGTAGAATCGACAGCCAGAACATACAGGACTTCTTAGTCGAACCGTGGACCTCAATCACGACGCAAGCAAAACGGCACCATGAGAAAGTTGTACGGGGATGAGATGACCAATTTCATTTGGTTGATACCCCTCCAGCCTGACATAACCTTTAATATTTATTCAGTAGTGTCTTCTTAGAGCACATTCAAATATATTCTCTCATTTGAGCCTCTTCATTACCACCATGAGGTTGGTATTTCATCTACCTTTTCTACTAATGAGAAAACAGGTCCAGCAGAGGTAGATAGTTTTCTTTCTGTCTTTTGACCAGTAATTCACAATACGCAAATTTAAAGCCAAGCCCGTGGGGGTGTGAGTTTCACATTTACTTCATTGGGTAATAGAACTCTCTAGATGACAGCTACGATAGACCACTTTCAGATTATACACCAATGGTCTCCAGCGCCTCCAGAAAGTCTTGGTGGTCAAAACTCACAGACTAAGGTGGATTCTGTGCAAACAAAGTGGTTACTTTAATAAAACCAGATTCTGGTGGCAAACAGCCTCATTACGCCCTAGACATTTCCAGGAGCTGAGATTTCTGGCATTGCTAAAGTCTACTAAGCCACATGCAGTAATATTTCCAGCTAGAGGAGATCACGGAGGTGCCTCCCCTCCCGCCCCTACCTTGAGCTCGTCTGCGTTGTAGAAGTCCACACGCACGGCGGGCACCATCCAGGTCTGGAAGAGCGTGGCCAGGATCTGCTCCGCAATGGAGTCAGCAATGAGGTGGAAGTGCAGAGGGTTCCGCCTGCGGGGAGGGGGAGAAGGAAGCGTCAGACGGAGAGGTCGGGCCTTTGAATGACAGCTGCAAAAACACACTCTTGACGGTTCCTGTGGTGGGGCTTGTTTCTAAAAGCAATTGTGAAAGTAAATCTCGCACACCAAACCAGCGCTCACTGGTGAGGCTGTAGGAGCTGAAAAGGAGAGAAGACACCTGACCCATCCTCCGTGTTTCGGAGAAGTGACAACCAACCAGTAATCACTACTGACACCTAACACAGGCCAAACACGATGCCTGTTAGTAGGATACTCATTCTTTTCTCTGAAAGTCTTAAGTAGAGCGGGTGTTGGCTAACCTGTCTATCTGCCACCTGGACATACCAGCCTTAACGCAGAAACCCATCAACATAGGGTAAGTTTTTTAGACTGGCAGCAGGCGGCTGGCCAGAGACTGCTCCCACAGCACAGTAGGGCAAGTTACATCTTCTGCTTCTTCCCTCCAAAAAAAAAAAAAAAAAACCACCCCCAAATCCAGGTTTTAAGATGGAGTCATTCAGAGCTCCCTTCACCCAGGAGCAGCTTGATCTCACTTACAGTATTTCTCTAGAGAAAGCCTTGGTGGTCAGAACACAGACGGAAGTGGATTCTGTGCTAACCAAGTGGTTACCTTAATACTTCTGATAATAAAATCAGATTCTGGTGGCGAATGACCTCATTATGCCCTGAACACTTTCAGTTAGGAGCTGAGATTTCTGACGCTGCTTTTCCTGAGACAGCACCCAAAATACAGAGCATTACGCAAGGGCAAAACTTCGGAGTTAACCCAGTTCGGAAATCTGTAAGCGGGAATCTTGAGCATGTCACTTACCCCTCTTCACTCTATTTCTACATTCTGGAAAATGTAGCGAAAACCTTCTCAGAGGGCTGCTATGTTGATTAAACAAGGTAGTTAAGTGCAAGATATGACACATCAAAAATAAACACGGGGTAGTAATCAACAGCAGATGCACCCTAATGAGGAACTGACTACACACAAAGCACTAGGCCGGTCAAGAAGAACTACTAGCATAAACACTATTGTGCTACTAAAACTAATGACATAAAGCATAACGCCATGAATGAGTACCGACTAGAAATAAAGCCCTGTGGGAAATACAAAGATGAGAATGACCCGGCCCACTGACCTCGAAGAGCTCACACTGCTCAGACACAGAGGAGCCGCAGTTAAATATAAGCAGGAGGCAGAATGTGATAAGGACCACAGAAGCACACACAGTTCCACGGGAGTAAAGCAGCAGCCAATTCTGACAGGGTCAGAAGGACAAGTAAGAGGAGAGGGAAGCAGTGCCCTAAAGGGATAAGCAGGACTTTGACAGAAGGCAGAGGGGATGCCATCCCAGGAGAGCAACAGGTGACAAAGGCTGGGCCCAGGGTGTATTGGGAGTGGGGTGGGGGTGAGGAACTTAGCAGGCCCCAGGGTTGGAGCAGAGAAGGAGGGACATGAGAATGCTATGGATGTTTAATTAAACAATCTGGACTCCAGGGAGGTGTCGGGCACAGGACAACTGGCCTTTTAGCTCTCAGCCATCTGCATGACCACTCCCTAGCCCTGCCGTATGTTCCAGACCATCTTTCAGTTTCCCACCCCCCACCCCGTGCTCACTCTCCACCCTGGACCTTACCATATATCGCATGCTCCACAGGAGACGGTCCCGCAGTTGCTCATTCAATAAATCCTTACTGAGCACACCCGATTTGTCAGGTGATAAGCTGGATGCTGGGGACACAGTGGTGAGTCAGACGCACCCAAACTGTCCCTGCTGTCCTGGAGCTCACAGTCTTACCCACCCTTCACCTCCATGTTCAGCACTTGGTTGTCTCAGTCTGCCTTAGGGCTGCCACCGTTTGCTCCAAGAATCCTTTCCTAACTCCTCATGTCTAGGTCAGGGGCCCTTTCTAACTGTTATCCCGGCCATACGTACCTGCCTACTCATCCTCACGTAGTGGTTGCCTGTCTACTTGCCTACAGCCCACCTGTGAGCTCAGCAAGGTCAAGGATCGTATTACATGTGTTCAAATAGACAAACTCCTGATCCACAGCTCAGTGCCCAGAGTAGAGGAGGAGTTTAATATAGGCACTGAATGGACAGAGGGGTGGTGAGTTGTCGACAGATAAGGGGAACAGATGTAGACATGTCACTTAGGAGATCATTAGATGACGTGGATGTGAAATGAGAATCTGATTAAGACCGTGTCGGTTGGTCGCATGGCTCATACCTGTAATTGCAGCACTCCGGGAGACCGAGGGGGGTGGATCACCTGAGGTCAGGAGTTTGAGACTAGCCTGACCAACACGGTGAAACCTCATCTCTACTAAAAATACAAAATTAGCTGGGCATGGTGACGGATGCCTGTAATCCCAGCAACTCAGGAGGCTGAGGCAGGAGAATCACTTGAACCCTGGAGGCGGAGGTTGTGGCAAACCAAGATCGTGCCATTGTACTCTAGCCTGGACAACAAGAGTGAAACTCCATCTCAGAAAAAAAAAGACAGTTTCTATCCCAGAAAGAGCAAAAAGGAAGCTAGAGAATTCAGGAGAACAGATCTGAAATATGAGAAAAACAGAGGAGGAGGAGCAGAAGGCAACACTGAGGGTCCGGGGTGGGTGACAATGGCTCCAGGTCAGGGGATACAACGCGAAAGGCACCTTTAGGGGAGGAGAGTGAGTCTGGGATTGGGCACACCAAGCTGAAGGCAGGGGTGGTAAAGCCAGGGCTGCTGCTGAATGGGTGGGTCTAGACCCGAACAAAGTTGTTATTCAAGTCCAACTGCCATACACATAACATAACAGGTGCATAAGAGTAATAAACTGAATAAATGAATCAAAAAGCAGTCAGCACTGTAGAATTTCCCCATGGGACCTAATACCTGAAGACTGCAAGTTTCCCATAAAATTATCTATACTCATCACGCTCAGGAGAAAGGGGTAGGTCTTCCCTACAGCTTCCCTAAAAGCCCTGTAAGAAGCCGCCACTGGGCCTTAGTAAAGCTTGGTGACATGAAGGGACAACGCTGTGTTTGTCCACTGGCCAGTGACTTACCTGAGGGTCAAGTGAGAGGCAACAGGACAAAGTCACTGGAAAGACAGATGGTCCATTTAGCCCTGAGTGTTTCCAGGACTGCCTCCCAAGGCCACAGCTGCCATAACGGAGTCTTATTAGTGGAGAATGGATAGAGGTAGGCCTATATTAATACAAGTTGCATTTTTTCATCTACACTGGAAGGGCAGCTTAATTTTCGCCATGGGGTGACAATAACAAATGGAGCAAGCGACTTATATCTGCCCTAACACACACACTTCATCTCTGTATCTTTGCTTGTGCTGTTCTCTCTCCGTGTAACACCCTTCCCTGCTTGGAAGCCCCATGAATACCTGTTCATTCTTCAAAATTCCCTTTTAAGTTATCTCCTCCTGGAAATCTTCTTTGAGCCTTTCCTTCTGTCTTTCTCCTGCCAACTTTCATACCTTGTGTGAAAAATGAATCTACCATCTGTAGCAAGGCACTGTGATATGTATTCAAATCGCTGGCTCCTTGTTCCTACTCTAAGACCACTTAGGACAGAAACCATCACTTCATCCCCAACCACAGTATCTGGCAAAGAGCCTGGTGAACAATGGGTCCTCAACAGACCTTCCTGTAACAACAACAACAACAAGCTAATGCCCCTCCTTCTATGTCACTGAAACCACCATCATAGGAGGGCAGAAACAGTCGATGGCACACTCCGTATCAACAGTTTGGGGTTTGGGCTCTGTTCCAGAATGTCTGGGTTGGCATCCCGGCTGCAGTATCTACTGGGTGATTTTAACAAAGTCACTTCATCTCTCAAGGTCTCAATTTCCTCATCCTCAAAGCAGGAATGAGACAATGGGAAGCAAGGAATATGATACTGGATAATTGTCAGGATAAAGTGACATCATAAACATAAAGTGCTCAGTAAAGCACCATCTGATATATGTTAAGATTTCAATATATGTTATCTATTACCAATATTAACTTATGATACTGTGTTTTTTTTTCCTCTATTTTTGCATTGCCTTTTCAATGAAGTATTTTGAATTAGTTCTTCCATCCACACACACAAAAATGGGCCGAATGAATAAACATTCAACATAGCACTATTCAGCAGTAACTACCTGTAAGTTACAACAGGGATACAGGTGATGAATGAGCTCCGAGTGCTCTCTTCAGGCAGCTTGGAGAGTCAGAGAAAGACAGAATACAAAAAACGACATCAACATTAGAACATGGATGTGCCGCTATGCTGGGCTGCCACACACAACTGCAGAGCTTGAGACAGCCCACTTCTCAGGGAGCCTCCCGCATACACTCACAGGTAATAAATGTGAAGAATACTCTTCGAGTTAGATAGATGGAGCAGAACCTGCACAACCATACGTGATGATCGTATCAGGAGGAGTACAAAAGGTACGTGGTGGGAAGGGTGAAAGAGATGACATTTTGGTAGCAAATAACCTGTGAGGTTCCCATAAACCATGTGGCAAGTGAAGTGCAGCGCTCAGTGGGTGGAGGCGGAGAAGAAAGGGAGGCATTCAGCAGGAAGTACAGCTGACTCTTGAACACAGGTTTGAACTGCACGGGTCCACTTATGCATGGATTTTTTTCAACAAAACCTGGAATGGGAAACCTATGCATACTGAGGGCTGATTTTTCCCATAGGCAGTAATATAGTTTGGATATTTTTTTCCCATCCAAATCATGTTGAAATGTAATCCCCAGTGTTGGACGTGGGGCCTGATTGGAAGTGTTTGTAGTGAATTTTCTCAAGATCTGGGTTTTTTTTTAAAAAAAAAAAAAAGAGAGAGAGAGAGTGGCACTTCTCCCCACCTTCTCTTGCTCGCACTCTCCTCTTGCATGTGATGTGCCTGCTGCTGCCTCACCTTCTGCCGTAAGTAAACACTCCTTGAGGCCTCCCTAAAAGGCAAGCAGATGCCGGTGCCACGCT